CAGTATAAGGGACATTATTTTTGTAGAAGCACATCTTTTATATTTCTTTTTTTATAGCAAAAATAAAAATAATAGTCTCTGGAATATTTTAAAAATTTTCTTATTTTTTAAAATTAAGTTTGGACATCATAAATGAGTTTTAAAATGTTTTAAGTGATTTTAGAAGGAAGAATGTTGTGCCAGTTCGGGTCTTTTGAAATTTTGTATACTATTAAGGTTTCTCTAATGGGATTGCTGCTGTTTTTTAACCGGGAAATCCCGCATATTTCTTAAAGTTCACTTTTTTCTTTTTTTGTGTTAAGACTGAGGAAATTCTGAGGAAATAGAAAGTATAATTAACTCATAAACTGTCAGAATGCATTTGTATTTATTAATCAATTTTAAGCCTGCTTGTTATGGCATGTCACAGATTGTCAATAATCAATATGTAGCCTATTTGTGGCAAAACTCTGAAAATTCTCTACTTGTCAGAACCTGTAATATCTTGAATAATTGCACTGATGCTGTCTTAATTTTTAACCATGCCCAATAGCTTCAACAACTGCATAACATCAGATTGTGCAAATTGGGCAAGGATACAAATGAGTACAAAATATGCAAGTATGAAGTTTTTCTTCATAAACCTGATTATTAAAGCCAAATGAACTGCCAAATTATCGTGCTATTAAAGCAGCCGAGGTAGACAAATCAAGAATACTAGAGTGCAAAAGTAGTACTGTAACACATCACAAAAACAAACTAGAAATCTTCCATGCTACATAACATCTGTCTTCTCTTAAATGCATTAAACATGATTCCACCACATCAATTAAATCAGAAAGAGCATTCTTGGTAGCAGGACTTTTCATTACTAAAATGAGAACCAGATCGCATGATTGGAGTATTGACCATCTTTGCTTTTTAAAATCTTCTTATAAAAATTTACAATAATATTTTGTATTATGTTTTATTTAAAAAGTGAAAATACCATCTAAGTTAGAAGCTTGATTTAAGTTCATTTTTTTCTTTAAATTTTCAGCTCAATTTAACGGTGGCTTTTTTTTTTCGCTGTAAGCAGTTTCCAACAAACTTTAATAAATTTTTTCTATTTGTGAAAATTTCTATGTAATCCAAAGATAATTTTTAATACATATTTTACACGGCATTATTATTATTATTATTATTTTGGAGATTGCAGGATGTATTAATTACTTAAAAAATGAAAAATAATTATATCGTTTGATTTCAAAATTTATTTTATATCTTAAAAATAATTAATTATATCCTGGGAAACAAATCACTTTTTCTCGAAATCCTGGGACAAGAAAAGGACAGCAAAAGAAGAAACCCTGTACAGTATTTTTAATCAATTAACACTCCCATTTTTTGTGTTTAACTGCATTGAAAAACTACTCGGTAGCATTTTTCGGCTTTAACTTCAAACTAAATTGAATGACAAATACCAAAAGTAAACCAATTCAGTGCTCTCTACTCTGTTCTTACTTGTTACCTTCTATTCCTCCTTGTTACTGAATACCGTAGATAGGTACGGTGACCATATACGTCCTTTATTTCACTGCTCTGTCCTTTGGATGTAATTTTTTTGTAAAATAACAACTAAAACAAAGTTGAAAAAAAATCACAAAACTACAATTAGAAAAATACAGTAGTGTTTTATACAGTACTGTACATGAAATGTATCTCGCTGACCACCCATCACTGGCACTAAAGTTGGTTTCTACTTCAAATACCTGTGATTTCCATCACTTTTTGTTTCAGTATCAGCCCTGAAACAGGAAGATTCGATGAACAAATTTGCTTTAGCAAAGGTATTAGGGCATCTTTGTACGGTGACTTTTTCTAGTGTTTTAGAGACAGCTGTGACGAAGACCCAAGAAAAAGTTTCTTAATTTCTTCATTTTTCTTCAGAATTTCCACCAATATTGTTCTTGGAAGGTTTTCTTGTTTTGCAAATTTGGCTTGCGAAGTTTTATTACATTCAAATTCAGATACAAGTTCATATTTTTCCTTCAGCATACGTGTTTTTAGGTTTCAGACACTCATTTTAACAGAAATGTGAAACGCTGCAAATAACACATGAATGAAAGGTGAGAAAATGAAAAATCGGATTCTGCTATGATGTTAAGCTTTGTGGTGTAAATTCATTTTTTCAGGAGGGGAGTCAATTTATCAGAAGTCTAGCTCATCACCACTGGATAAATCAACATACCTTTTCTGTCTCACACTTGTTTAAATGGTGTCAAGTAAACCAGAGTTTTTTAACATTAATGCCTATGTAAGTCAGCCAGGACCACTACTTAACGGATGGTGTCTTGTTATATCTAAGACAACTTATGCAGTCTCAACTGTATATAATTTTAAAAACTGTCAGGTATTTCTGGCAGACCCTGTACATGAAAAATACTAAATTTAACTACTAATTTTTGGTTTATTTTGTCAAGTATTGTACTCACTCAATATAAAACATTATCTTAAATAACAAAAAAATTTACACTTTTTTAAAACATTTTATACTTAATTATACTTAGTTTTACACTGAAAACAAATGATTTTTAATTTTCTTAATTATTTTGGCTTAGTTCAATTTATTGTTTTTTACCAAGGCAAAAGAGGTTAATGGACAATCCATGCTATAGGGTAAACATTGTCTGTGCAGTATCATCCGTAGATCTGCTACTAACAACAACAATAACCATGGGACCAAACAAAAATAGTTAACCTATATAAAGATCAAAAATTGGCAAATATGATGGAGATAGTAAATTTACAAAAAACAACTTATAGTAGATAAAACACATTATACACCTGTAAGCACACACAATTAAAAGGATTGGTTGTATGTATTTAATGCCACATTTAATAGTGAATTTAAAGGAGATATCTGATTACGTAAAATTTCTTTTAACCGATTAGTCTACAATTACAGAAAGAAAACTTATTCAAAATGTATAAAGTTATGTGATAATCCGGAGGGATTCTCAAATCAATTTATATAATTTTACTTTAAACAAACTTGGGGAAAAAAAAAATATTACTTTAAAGCTTAAAAACGATAAAATTTGGAAATAATTAATAAAACATCACCTAATAAGGTTATAAACTTTTACATCCTGTAAAAGTGCTCTGTCATGCCACTTTTACCAAGAACTGAGGATATTTTGTTTCCTTTCTCCACGCCTCGTATCTTAGAATTTTGCACTCCATCTAATCGAATGACACATCATTTCGGATAATCATGATGGTGCAGAAAAGAGGGATAAAGAGGCAGGTTTTCNCCTACTCGTCATGTGACTGTGTGGTAGATAGTGGGCAGGCTTAACTGGGGAGAAAAAAGGGGAGGAAAGGTCAGCGAAATATGTTTGTTTGAAAGACTAGCATGTAAATTTTAATTGTAAATCAATTTAAATGTGATTTTAAGTGTATGGAAGAAATTTTAAAATTGTTTAAACTCATCAAAAAGTTGGCTGAAGAGGGGCAAGAAATGCCCAAAACATGTATAAACGAAAGAAACACGTATCAACCGAATAAAATTTAATTCTGTGATTTGCTAAGTGTCTGTATAAATACGATAAATAATTTGTGTTTGAAGTAAAAATCACATGATTATGACCCACAGAATAAGTGACCATGCATTAGGAAATGCATGACTAATAACATTGTTATTGGTGAAATGATGTCACTGGAAACTTCATACAGCAGTTTCTGTATATGTTAAAGCTCTATCTTGCATAAAAATGAGATTTAAGAAATTATTGCTGTTTTATTTGGGACATGACAAAAGTGTTGAACATTTCTTGGTATATATGTATTACAGAATATATTGCAGGCTAATTGGGGCTAGAGCTTTGAAAAAAAAATGACCCGAAGAAAAATGTGACTTTACACTAGATAGTAAGTTTAGCTGGATGCTTGGAATGCTGGAAAACACAAGGCTTTTCTGTGGCCCAAATGTAACAGTTATGAAAAATGAATTTTCATTTTTCCAGTAAGACTAAAATGTGCCTTGTTGTTCCATGAAATCTTCCATGGCCATGGCATATGCAATTCCACTCTGGCAAGGAAGATCAATCAGATTTCTCCATTAATGGCAAAAAAAACTGCAGGTTGTGGCTGATCTTATTACATGAATAACAATACTTTCTCCAGTAACTTTTGCCTTAACATACACCAAACTGATCTTCGCTGTACTATAAAATGAAATTATCAACAGTGTTATAGGGGGTTGACTGTAATATTAATTTTATTTAGTTAATTTTCAAAATTTATTTTTTAAAATAATCTAAATTAAATTTATAAAAGGAATGATGATAGAAAAAATATGGAAATATGGCACTTTAAAATTAGTATTTTTGTACATATTATTAATATATTCTACTATCATCTTAACAGCCAATATAGTATGGGTGTTGGCCTACCATCCCGGAAAATCTGGTTTGTGTCTGCGACGTATCCTCAGTTATTTAATCGGACAGTTTATCCAGACATATTTGTGCTCTATTCTGAGTCTGTTTAAACCTATTACAGGTATTTCAAGAAACAACACCTTTAAACAGCAAGAAATTTGGATCTAACATTTTTTATCAATGACAACTCACAAGAAATTAGAACAATGGAGCAGTACATCATTATCAGCTTTCAGAGAAATTATCATTCTTTATGCTGCTAAACTGTAATTGAATTTAAAATTTTTCTTGTGCTTGTGTACTTTGAATTTTTTAATAAAGAATCTTGACAATGGTCTATAAATTAGACCAAAAATATTAGATCCAAATATAACTCTCTGTTTAAAGGTGTTGCTTCTTGGAATCTTAATTTTAAATAGCATTATAGAATGCTATTATAGATATGAAAAAGAAATTATATTCTATTTGATAGGAAAAATCATCATCTTACAAAATCATTTTTCATTGCTGTTCATATTGACTGGCAAATATGGTAACACTTTTATCATTAGTGTTAAATGCTTAAGTTGAGTAAATGAAAATTATAATTTGGGAAAAAGAAATTTTCATGAATTTTATTAACAAGAAAAACTCTGCTAATCGATTTATTTGTCATTTTAATGTATTCTGGAGATGTTTCATACACTTCAATGATTTTAAAATGAAGGAAATTTAAAAATAAAACTACATTTTGCCTGATTCTTCTGCTCTAGCTTTCATTCTATTAATAAATGCTTGGCCTTTACTCTTCCGGAAACTTTCGTAAGGATCGTTCAGATTTACTCCAACTCCTTTGTACAGATCCTGCCTGTCTCTCACTTCTCCGGCATTTATTGGATCCTGTATTCCTTGCTCACATGCTCCGAGTCCTGCTCCACCCCAACCTTTAAAATAAATACAATGAAATTAATTTTGTGAAAATCTTTTCTGAATTCTAAACAATTCCAATTTTTTGTAATTAGAATAAAAGGAGGAAAGAAAAATTATAAAATAAAATTCCCACTTTAAGTTTATAAACATACAGGTATCTTCCACTTAATGCTTTTCCAGTTTAAGCTTACATCTTTAGAACCAAACAATATGTAGTGAAGACTCAAATGAAATTCTAAATACATTGACTGAAACACATTCTCAGTGTGTTACAATTTTTTCCATGTACTCAAGATCATACATACAGGAAACATAGCAGGATTATAGTAAATGATCATATACAATATACCAATCAATATGTGCAAAGGTTCCAAAGTAGGTTGTATCAACAATATCCCAATACAGCATCAATTTATTGTGTACCCTCCATGGACATTTAGGCAATCCCACAGAGAATATACAATATATTAATACGGTGCAAGTATCTGCAGACTACAATCAACATGTATTTTATTTGTACAAGATAGCCATGCTATACAGACACCTTAGCAATGCAAGGGATACTGCTCAATGTAATCCCCATTCTAAAGGTGTAAATTTGAAGATGAATGGGTTAAACTGATCTTTTATGATGCTTCTGATATGCAGTATGATACTATCAATACTTTTCAAGGCCACAAATTTGTAATATGTAATCATTAAAGCACTCTCTTTAAGTGTCCCTACAACTAAAAATCACATCTGGTATTTTTGAAACCGTGCCAGTAATTTATTTCAATTCAAATAAAGATAAAGTACAATTCAGATAAAGTACAAATACTCCACAAAGAAAAAGAAACATATCACAGACAGTTCAAAGAAAGCGTAGAAATTATCAAAAGTAATAAATGTATAAATAAAAACCTAAGTATTAAAATAAACGAAAACTGGCTCAATATCTTATAAAATTAGGAATATTTTTGAAGAAGATTTTTTATGTAACAGATTCTTATGTAGAAAAGTAATTTTTTAAAAAATGTTGCCATAAGGTGGCCTACTTGTCATGTGACTGTGTGGTAGACAGTGGGCATGCTTAACTGAAAAGGAAAGGTCAGCGAAATACATTTGTACGAAAGAATAGTATGTAAATTTTAATTGTTAAATCAATTTAAACGTGATTTTAAGTGTATGGATGAAATTTTAAAATTGTTTAAACTCATCAAAAAGGTGTGTTTTTAAAATAACATAACCTTATATGTTTGTTTGTTTATACTGTTGTAACTTGTAAACTTTTATTTTAGTTGGCTGAAGAGGAGCAAGAAATGCCCGAAACGTGTATAAACGAAAGAAACACGTATCAATTGAATAAAATTTAATTCTGTGATTTGCCAAGTGTCTTT